CAGCACACCCAAATACCCAGGAGTTTCTTTGGATTGGGCTCTGACCTACAAGAAGCACTACTTGAATATCAAGCAAAAAGTTGATATCGAGTTCTTTTGTGGGGGGTCTCCCAGCGGGAGGGATGCCTGAAGACCGCTAAAGGGGTCCTTTGACCTCGGTGAGCAGCCAGCGAAAGCCAATCCAAAGCACGAAAAAATATTAAAAATTAATCTCACCGGAGGCTGAAGAGGTTCAGTGACCGAGGCGTTTATTTCTGCGATTCAGCTGAAAAGGATGCGATTGCAGTGATCATTCACATACAAGCATAGTTTTACAGAATTTCCAGACATTTTTATAGCGTACAGACAAAGGAAACATTTTCAAAAATCCCGCCCGCCCTCTGCCGGCCGGCTTCGCTCTGATTGGCTGGCCGCGGAACAGCTGGGAGGAGGCTTGGCGGCGCGCCTCGCCTCCTGTCCAATCAGCGGGCTCTGCCGCCTCCAGGGGGCCAATCAGCGCCTTCCTAGCGCCTCGGAAGATGGACCAATCGGCAGCCAGGAGGCGGGACAAAGCCTGACAAAGGCTGAGGAAATGACAGCCTTTGGGGCATCTCCTCCGCTGGAATGTGTGGCTTTGTTTTTACACGGCGGGGTGATAGTCTCTCGTTGGAATAATGAGCTGACTAGGGCAATTGACACTATCGCTCCGGAACGCCCCCTCTCGAGTAACCGAGCTAAACCAGCTTCTTGGTTTACCGAGGAGCTGGCAGCGATGAAGCGAAAGAAGAGGAGGCTAGAGTGCGTGTGGCGTAAGAACCCCACCAATCTAGCCCAAACACACCTGAATGCCTTGTTAAGGTCCTACGGTGTGGCAATAACGGCAGCTCAGAAAGTATTCATCACAGCCAATATTGCATCTGCGAAGAATCGTCCAGCGGAGCTCTTCCGAGTTGTCAGGGGCCTGTTAAATCCATCAAAAATCGAGGCCTCAGACAACTCGGTGGCTCTCTGTGAAGCATTTGCTCGATCCTTCGCGGATAAAATTGAGCGGATTAGGTCGGGTTTTGACGTCATGTTAAC